CACACACACACACACACACACACACACACACACACACACACACACACACACACACACACACACACACACACATATATATATATATGCGTGCAAACTTCTCGTTGACTACATGTATATGTATACACGCGCGCGCGTGTGTGTGTATATATATATATATATATATACACACACACATACATATATATATATATGCGTGCAAACTTCTCGTTGTTCCTCGTGCTCGAGTAAGTTACGTGTGTCCGGATTGCAGGCGGGAGCAAGCGAGGGAGCGGACGGCGGCGGTGGGTTGTTGCAACTTAACAAGCTTAGCTCCCTTAATCCCCTTGTAAGCCGGCAATGTCTACAAGGGGTCAGCCGTTCGCATGAAACGCATCCGTTTACTGCCCGAGCTTTGTCTTCAGGCTGGTATTAAAGTTTTCGTCGTGAAACAACCGGCGAAAGACAGCCAGGTGAAGCAGACGTCGGACGGAGATCAATGCGCCAGTTTAAAAACACTGGCGCGAGATGACCCACGTCGCGAAACGTCGGAACGGCTTACGGCGGGAAGTTTGTTTCTCGAGTGTTTTCCGACTTGGCTGACATTTCGACATCATCGCGTCAATGAGACCGCGTCACCGCGTCAATAAACAATAAAGAAGCAATAAATGTTTATTCGGTAGCTACTAATAACACAGAATTGCTCGTGTACTAACATAAAATATCTTTCAAACAAGAAAGTATACATTTTCTTCAAACCTTAGAAAGACCCTAGCTTTTCATGAAAGCAATCGTCTTATTCTGTTTAAATAACAAAATTTTATTTGAGTAAATATGTTATTGTATATATAGTGTACCTATAAAAGAAATATTTCCTAGATATTTTTCTCTCAGTGTGACAGTTCTTGCACTGCTAAAAACATGATAAAATCGAAGAGAATGAAAATATGGAAGAAAAAAAAAGTTATAATATTCTCTCCGTGCAAATATAATAATTTATATAAATTATGTTACACAAATCCAATGTGTGTACAATGAAAAATTCTAAAATAATCCACTCATACATTGAGAGAGAAGATACCTAAAAGATATTTTAGATGAAATCTCAGAAAGAAAGACCACGTGTTTCACGCTATGTCCCATAAATAAAATGCACAATGAATATAGAAAAAAAGAAAGAGGACAGAGAAGTTCTCACTCACTTCGCTGCATCCTCCCCACTGCCAATTGTTCGGGCGTCGCGTTCGCACTCGATTGTCGCAGGAGCAGTCGGTGAGCTCGCCCCTGGAGCAGGCCCTCGTGACGCTGTAAGCGACCCCGGCTGCTGATATGGCATAAATGAACGCAGCCTCTCGGCTATCTGCGAAATGCACGTTTTTTATCAGTGCCGGCGAGTCGCAAGGTGGCCACTTGGTTGGACGTACTCACTTGGTGCCGCCGTTTTGCACCCACTCCATCGCACACGGAGAAGGAGAGTGCGTCCAACAAGCGCTAGACACACTACACACACACACACACACACACACACACACACACACACACACACACACACACACACTCTCTCTCTCTCTCTCTCTCTCTCTCTCTCTCTCTCTCTCTCTCTTCACTCGAGAGAACTGAGGGGAGTCCGGGAAGAAGTAAAACGTATGCGAAACTCGGCATGACACAGCCGTTAAACGCGTCGAACCGCGAAAAGAGAGAGAGAGAAAGCACTTACTGACTAACGTGACGCCGCCAAACACATTCTCGGGATTTTCCGGGCTGACGGAACAGTTCCATCTCGCCGATCTAAACTGGTGCTGACACTCCTCGATGGCGAGCCTGGCACCCGCACTCACCGCCTGTAAGCAAAGTAAGAACCGACGATGAGGGTTTGGGAAAGAGAGACAGACACAGAGAGTGGGCCAAAGAGAGACGCGCCGCCTGCGGATGTTCTAACGGCTTTTCCTCGCAATGAACGGAAACGACGAATGTTTCAGTGAAATGACGTGAAACTACGTGAAATGAAACGAACCGTGTCCCTCTCACGCAGTTACCACTCTGCTTCCTGCCGCGGAAACTCTATTTGTTCGATGATTTTCGCACGCGGAGGAAAATCAGGGCGTGAGAGAATGTTCTTATTATGAGGAGCTTGGAAAAGTCCGTGAGATCGTGGACGATATCGCTGGCCAGTTATTGCATTCTAACTCCGTTGAATTGACGGAAAAACGAGACACTTTGCAAACACCGAATTGAACAATCGTCTGAAAGCTGACAGCAGCAAGCTATGCACTGTTTCGTCAATGATATAAATTAATATTGCAAATATTACAATTAATAAAGTTAACTGTCAAAAGTTGCAGTTATTAATGCAAGAAATACGGCTGAAAATCCAACGTACTCGTGCAAAAGCCAATAGCAGTCGATAAAAGTAGCGACAAATTTCGCATTAAACGAGACCCACGCTGGGACGCCCAATTAGCCGTCGCGAAAATATCCCGACTTATCGTCCAGATCTGCAGATTTTCAACCGTTCCGCTACATCGGGAATTTCACTGGCAACTTAATAACACATCGTTACCGCGAATTGTTACTTGACTCTCAACTGCCGTATAAAATTTCCGCGTACAGATTCTCGAGCGCAACCGGCGAAACGCTACGAAAAGCGTGCAGCAACGAGTGCCTGTAAAGCACGAGCGGCGATAAATGTTAATATCGAACGACGGGCCAGCGGTTGTTGCATAGCCGTCTCTCTTTTAACGGGCTCGGTCGCTCGTTAAAAAATCGAACTCCGATATCGAGGATTGACATATGAATATTCATGCGTTGCTGGCCCTTTTGTCGGTGACTCGTAGACTCGGGGAGGAGGAAAAGAGAGAGAGTAGAGAGAGGAGGGTTGGGAGGAGGGAGAGGGCAGGGAAAGCGGAACCGACGGGCGCGCGTGTTCGCCGCTGTCGGCAGCGTTCAAAGAGATATCGGAGGCCTCGCGAAGGCTGTCCAGTTTACCTAGGTACCTAGATTCCTAGACGGAACCCACCTTTCCCCTTCGCTGGTCCCCTCCCTTTTTCTCGCCCGACTCACCCCCGACAAGTTTTGTGCATTAGTGAAAGGTAAACGGCGATTTTCGGCGAGCGTGGAGCGAACCGCAACACCTCGCACCGCTTTTTGTCACAGGCAGGTGCCGAATAAGATCCGACCGTGAACCTGCACCACGGCGCCGATACCGATCGTAGGAAACAAATTCGTTCCAACACGGCGTGTTGGCGTTTGTCTGTTACCGCCGCTTCGTTCCCCCATTGTCGTGAGAGCCGAACACCGAGTCTTCTCCGTTTCAGGATGCCGCGCGAGGGTCACCCCGGACAGGGAAACACCGGTGAAAAGTACACGAGCGATGAGCGAGACCCCGATTTCATCGGGATTTCTCGCGCGCGCGGGACCCAGATAACCATCATATATTAATTCTCTCTAACGTATACTAATATATATAATATATTAATTATAATATGATACTAATCGTAATCATCAACAATAACATTACATCAATATTATAATCCAACAGTGTAACTGTTATGTATAATACGTGCTACATTATATTTGTATCGCTGAATGGAAAACTGTAACATTGATGTCATGTCACTCTTGGTTGGTGTTTACACTGTTAAATATTGGAGAGTCATATTTAAACCAATTTCTTGAGTTAAATAATATTTAGTTATTTTTAACTATCATGTGTGTCAAAATTTACTATTTTAACACAAAACATGTGTTTGAAAAAACAACCACATCTAATCAACCCATTTAAAACAATATTAAATCATTTTTTACTAAAACA